ACACAACCTTTCTGGTGCAGGTTTCTTTGTGTTCAAACCCTAATTRGTCTCTGCAGTTATTTGGTCTTTGTGTTCGGGGTTCTGAAAGAATGCTTTTGATGAGGTTACACGTTTGCGTCAACGCCTGCCCGTTTCCAGAGCTCCGGTTTCGTGTTCCTCCTCCGTCCAGGAAATGTGAAGCGTGAAAGTCACGTGGCTCCGTTTCCCTCCTTTTGTCCAACCTACTTGGATGTTTAAATGAGATCTGTGCAGATGAAGTTGCCATCTACAGTTGGACTATGAAAGATTTATCACCAGTGTTTTGTACTGGCTGCTGAAATGTTGATGAGGCTGAACTTTTCAGACCGTTCAAAGAACCAACGCTTGCTTGTTTTTTCTCTACTGTCTTGATTTTTTTCTTTATTTTTTTCAAACCTGCAGACTGCTCTGTGACAGTATCAACAGAGTACTAAACGTGAGCTTGAACACAGTTTATTACGTTTCTAAAGGTCAGCTTGATATGAAGACCACGGGAGAGTTCATCCTGGTGGTTTGGAGCTTTTTCTTGCCAAAATATCGGATTAAATGAGCTCTTTAAAATACAAAGATTCTGAATCTGATCAAAACGTTTGGCAAAYGCTGTGGTCTTCGGAGCGTTCAGTTTAATTTCCTACAGAATGAACAGATTTTTGAAGATAATAGGCATTTTTTATGTTTTAATATGCTTTATTCCTCTGTTCTGTTTAAAGTGTGACTTTCATCAGACTGAAATGACAAAGAAACTCCTTCTGGTCATTAWAAGTTTGATTTAAAAAGGTTTGAAAACACTTGAGTGAATTCATGCTTTTTAAAAGGTCATTTGTTTAATTCAACGGAGCTCAACTTTTTAATTAACAGTCCAGTGGATTGAGCTTTTATTGACTTCTGTTCCACTCCAACATGTGTAATTAAGAGTTTAAAAAGTATGTTTTAAAAGAAATGATTCATTCTCACCAGGACACCTGAGCTGTAAGAGTCTAAYGATCTATAATTAGAATCTTGTCTTCTCAGCAGCGTCATTTGGTTTTTATTTGCATCGTATTTGAATGGAAACTTGGACTCACGAGGCTCTTCTGGTCCCAGTTTTTGTCTTCAACTCTGTGTTGGATCACATTTTCCTGTGAACTCAGAGGTCGGTAACTCGAGCCGTCGGACCGGGGGAACATTAGACCAACCGGGGTTAGTCTTCAGTGTCAGAGGCGGGTAATCCCAGGTGATGGTTAAACACGCAAACTCAAGGTTTTGCTCTGATTGGCCGAACCAGCCGTCCATCAGTAAAGTCACGTTGAAGTGGTGGCCAGGTGAATCTGTGGGACRGTGCAGGGGTTAGTTTCACCTGGTGAGGTGGAAGCAGGTCTTGATTTAAACACCTGTGGTGGGATTAAAATCTGCTCCAGTCATGCCATCTTTTCAAACCTTCCTGAGAAGATACAGGCAGGTTCCAYGAACCGAGGCTGATGGAGCGTTCAACTACGGTCGAGCCTCAAACGGACGATGTCTGCTGAACTCCGGTGGGTTCAACTCTTCTTTGTTAAACCATCAGGCAAGGAATGCTTTTAAACCAGACTAACGACATTAAAATGACTAAGAACAAACTATCAGAGTCAGAGAAATATGATGATAAGTTATTTAAACTTATTAAATTTAAACATACAGGTGTTCTGGAGCAACATCTTTGGTTATATAGTCTTTACCAATGGGCCACAGTTGAAATTTTTTGCTTCATTATAATTAAAAAGAATGATTTTATGAAACTGTTTTTTGTAGAGGTCTGTAAAATAATCAGTTTGTGGCTCTAAAACAAAACTCCTGGACTCATTTTCGGTTATGAAGTTGGTTATTTTTAAATCTTTTGTCTTGTTTGGTTTATTATTCACAGCTTGTTGGCCCTCTACTCTTGGAAGAAATAAAATTTAAAAAAGACTGATTGGATCCTCCACCTGTTTGTTAATGGCAGAGCGACGTAAATAAAAAATAATGTAATTCTTGTGATGGAGGCGTTCAGTAGTCTGTTATATATTTTTTAATATTTTGTATATTTAGAAAGATATCGATGCCTTTTTCTGCATGTTGTCTAAGAATGTCATTGAAGCGAGAACTGTGACAGCAGGAGGTGTAAAATGCTTAAATTTGTATTAATATCTGCCTGCCTTGCTGTTGGGTTGCAGCAAGGTGATGGATTTGATCTTCTGTAATTGCCTTTTTTCTCTCAGCCAGCTGAGTTTGTTGTCTTTGAGTGTAATTTATCAGTCTATGCGTCAGCCGCAATCTCTTGATCTCAGGCCTGCTGTGATTATGCCGCCTTCTCCACAGATTCATTGCCGGACACTTAAAKTGATGCATTGCCTCTATTACTGTGTTGAAGCCATGATGCTTTCATCCAGAATGGATTTTATTGTCATTCATATCTGCTGTCATTCATTTTCTGCCACTGGTGCCCCTGTTCAAGCAAACATGTTACTGTGAATTTAATCTGCTGCAGGAAAAATGTTTAGGCTTGAACTTTAGTCAAAATACAGAACATAGGCGTTAGTTTATTCCAACTAAACAGAGCAACCAGCCCACTTACTCATTTACCAATCTACCCTCCCAACCCAACAACCAACCATTCCACATAGACCCCATCAAGCTTCTCCAGTTACTGTGCCATCCACCCACATCATACCAACCAACCCATCCATCCACCCAACACCATACCAACCAACCAACCCAACACCATACTAACCAACCCACCCATCCACCCAACACCATACCAACCAAACCACCCAACACCATACCAACCAACCCACCCAACACCATACCAACCAACCAACCCAACACCATACCAACCAACCCACCCATCCACCCAACACCATACCAACCAACCCACCCAACACCATACCAACCAACCCACCCAACACCATACCAACCAGCCCACCCACATCTTACCAACCAGCCCACTCAACACCATACCAACCAGCCCACTCAACACCATACCAACCAGTCAACCAACCAATTTGTCCAGGCTTTACCTTGTTAACCAATCTAACCAACTGTGACCTATTATACTATTGTACTATATATATTATGCTATTATACTATATATTATGCTATTATACTATATATTATGCTATTATACTATATATTATGCTATTATACTATATATTATGCTATTTTGCTATATATATATATTATGCTGTGCTAATACTATTGGTTGTGACCATTATTATACTAACCAGTCCACCTGACTCTCTGACGCTCTACCAATATATGGGGTGGCTGTGGTGCAGTAGTAGTAGGGTTGGGCAATATTGGCAAAAAAATTAATCACGATTAATTGTGGTATTTAGCCGATAACGATTAATTTGACGATTAATGCCCTGAGTCCCAGGACACCCTTATTTCATAGTAACATGACCAATTTAGTGGGAAAGATTTGCTTTTTGTAAAAAAAATTGTTCCAAATTGTGTGAAAATTACAGATTTCTGGCTATACATCATATTTTAAATTGTATAGATAGATAAATAAATTACAGAACTTTATTTTAAWGTTYGTCATATTTGAAGYGGAGAGGAGCRCTGAGCAGACTGACCGGAGTAATCCCCAGTCAGTCTGCCTGGTGGCATTAATTGTATTAATTGTCAAGTGCCAAAAAGTAATCGATTAATGTTTTTCTGACGATTAATTGCACACGATACGATTATGCCCAACCCTAAGTGGTAGAGCAGCCGAAAGTCACACGTTCGACTCCCCGCCATGCCCACATGCCGTGGTGTCCTTGAGCAAGATGCCCATCTCCCARCTGCTCCCCGAGCGCCTACATAGCTGCCCGCTGCTCCACCTGGGTGTTTCTCACGTGTGACGGGTCAAATGCAGAGCACAGATTGATGACCAATAAAGTATGGGGAGCAGCTGCTGTTTCCCAGCAAACGACAATCATTAGGTGTTTGTGTGTTCACTGAAAACAGACATAAAAGAGATGTTTGAGAGTTTCTACCTGTCAAGTTAAAACCAGTYTGGTTTGGTCACCAGCTGATTGTGAAACAATGTTTGAAGGTTAAAGAACCTGTGAATAGTTTTCTTTGTGCTGTTCTGGTTGTTATTCCACTGCTGTGTTTTTGTACTYGTTGGCAGACCTGTACACCAGTAGTTGCCGGTCTCTCCGCTGGTATTTAAAGTCCTGAAGCTGGATCGGGTTGAATATTGAGCAGCGGGAGGTGTTGGACCTGAATTCCAATGAATCCTGCAGGTCACCCGCTCTTCGACTTTGTTCTGAGCGCTGGTGTGGTCAGTAATGACAGGATCCGTAACAAACGTTTTCCAGCCTCTGCAGTGGCGGCGTTGCCTTGACAACCAGCTGTTGATACGAGCTGTAATGAAGTTGATTAATCTCCACGCTCCGAGGGCTGCAGACGAACTGAATGGCTGCGAAAATAAACTCTGGGGGTGTCGACTCCTTGTTGCCTGATTGGTGTTTACGCAGCATGAAGGGGGTCCTTGGAGCGCTGGTAACTAATTGAGCAGAGACTTATGGGGAATAAAGTCAAGTCTGCCTGACATTTTTTTGAGTCTGAAAAGGGCAACAGGCAAAGAGGTGTTAAAACAGAAACTGATGGAAAACGTGGTGATGGAGGACACTGCACGATGCTCGGTGGAATATGTCCCTCCTGTGACTTCACCTTCCTCACCTCATTGTGCCGAGCCGTGACTCTGACTCATCACGTCTTATTGATACGGAGGCTGCAGCTGGTAATACTAATTCATCTTGGTCAATAGATGCTCGATCATTTCCTGCTTGTGAATACAAAGTCAGGATTGTCTCCCACGCCTCAAAGACCAGCGTGAGTCAGAGGTGCAAAGTAAAACCATGATCTGATGCCTTCTCTTCAAACTGGTTTTATTTCTTTAAATTCTGATTTCCTCTCAAAGTTTTTGTTTTGAAGCAGGTGTATGTCTGACGTTCTGTAACTAATAATAATTCAGTAATGTTTTTTTCTTTTAGGAGTCTGTGGCTGCTGTGGGCCGCTGAGGCCGAGGTACAAACGACTGGTGGACAACATCTTCCCAGAGGACCCTAAAGTGAGTTGAAGCTTCACGTCTCAGAGATCCTAAAGATCTGCTTTCACTGACAAAATGTGTTAGGCATTCAAACAAAATGGTGATTAGATCCAGTGGCGCCTGCAGAATGTTTTTTCCGGGGGGCCACTGAAAAACCAGGGGTGGCACACACCAAAATAAAATCTATAACAGAAAATTTATGCTTTTGTAAAAATGACACTTTGAAAATTACACAATATAAAAGCTATGGATTCACCAACAGATGTTCAGTTTGTTATTTTACAGATAATATTACTGATCCTGTGAAGACCAGAAACCAGAACAAAAGAAGCATTCATAATTTTAGGGGGGGACCCACTGGTGGGGTGTCTGGGGGTCCACCCCCAGAAAAGTTGAACAAAGTAGATGCCTTTTCCTGCATTCTGGTGTATTTTACCAGGTTGTTAAACTACTTTTACCTACATAAGAAAACACTTAGTCTGAGTTTTCTATAAATCAAGTGGAATGAACTTATTTGTTCAACAACAAAAACAATACTGGGTGAACTAATATTTTATGGTAAATGTGGGGGTTCAAATGAATTAAATTTTAAATGTGATGGGGACGTTCCCTTCATAAATAATTGCAGTGATGACTGTCATTTTCTTTAAAAGAGTCAAAATACACATTTTAAAAACATTTACAAAGAACAAGCTTTCCTCCGTTTTAAAGCCACCTCCTCTATGTATTTTAAAACAGTTTTATTTGCTTGTTGATGTTTACTTTGTGAACAAAAACTGTAATTATAAAAACCCAAAACTGGAAATGGACTAAAACAAGCACAAATATATTTTACATCTACTGTAGTATTATCCCAAACTATTCAGTTATTTGCTTCTTTATGACATATTAGTTTTAATAAAGATGATTTTGGGCTGTAAAAGAAAACTGGAGTACCTGGAGAAAACCCACTCATGTACAGGGAGAACATGTAAACACAACCCAGAGATTTGATAGAAACGTTCTTCCTTAGAGACATGTTGCTCTGTGTGTCACTGTACTGCCTAATTTTATATTTGTAACATAATAATTTTAATTATTTAATTAATATTTATAATATAAATGTTATGTTAATATGTTGTACGAACATGACCTCCTGAAAACTTCCATCTTTATTTGAGAACATTGGTTTTAGACTGGTTGTCCT